AAAAAAAAAAATAAATAAAATGGTATAATACATATATACATATGATATTTGAAGAATAATAAGAAGAAGAATAAGAAGAATAATAATTTCTATTTAAACTCTATTTATTTAATTGTTAATTTATGAGATTAAATTATAAAGATCCGCTGTTAAGTTATGACTTATCTTATTATAGAAAAACATTGGTTTTTTTTAAGTTAAAAAAGAAAAATCAAGAGATCTAAATTTTTCTTAATCACGATATAAATATCTCATTAAGAGGCTTGTAATGGGTGAGCAGAATGTCCACGAGATAATAAAACAAACATAATAAAATATATATATTTTTTTAGAGAGCGGATAGAGCGTTTCATCGACGAAAACAAGGCGTTAATGAAGAGAATGTATGGTGACTTCGAAATGAGTTCGGGATACGGATCACCAACGAGAGAGACTGGCCATCATCGTACACGTAGAAGAAGGAAAAGTAGAGAAGCTGTGAAACACGATATACCTGATGGTGGACCCAATTTCCGGGACGAATTGGATCCGGAAATCGAGGCTAATGGTGACTCATTTTTCGCCAATGTGAGAAAAACTAGAAACCCTAGACAGTCTCCTGGAAAAAATCATAAGGACAGCGGCAGGTATATACAAATTATTGGAAATTATGGAGAAAATTTAATATTTTTTCAAACCAGAAATATAATTGTTTAGGAATTTGAGATTCGAGAGTTTCAAAAATAAGGAAAAAGTAATTAATTAAGTTTAATGGAAAGTTTTAATTTAATTAAAACTTAAATTCAAGATTCTAATACTTACACTTTTAATGATTTTCGTGTCACGAGAATTTCCTATTCTGTCATAAATTTTTCATTTGAAATTGAAAAATTCAAAAAAGTTTACATTAAGTAAGTTAATGGAAAGTTTCAAATTTTAAAATTCTAATCCTTACACGTTTAATGCAAATGATTTTAAAAATAAAAAGAAATATTTGTCAGAATCATTCAATTATATTATATTGAAAGTGCAAATAAATTCGAGAATAGAATTTTTTAAAATTACTCTTGAAAATAAATTTTTTATAAAAGAATTTTCTCTCTCAATGCAATGTTCATTTGCGAAAAAACGAGAAAATTTCAAATGAAATTCGCATTCAATGCAAGTGACGAGCTTTTCAAAAAATTATGAAACAGAATTTTTCAAACGTATCAGAATTTTCACGTAATTTTTCTTTCAATCCATTTTCTATTTCGTTGCATTTTACAATCATTCATTGTATTTATTAAAAGTTAATATCCTCCACCGAGATTTTTCAACTTTTGTGCATTGAATTAAAAAATTTTCCAGAATCGATGCATGCGAGTCCAAGGTGGAAATAGTAACGCCCTATTGGGCAAGCAACAGTGCTGGAAAGATTCGTGCCATCGTGAACACGCAGCATTTTGAGCAAGCCATTCACCAAGAAGTTTGCTCGTAAGTATATTTTTCGCGTCTTTTAACTTTCATTTGAGAATATAAAAGTTTTCTTCGAGAAAGTTTCCTGTTTTCAGGAAAACCCAGACGAATCGGTGCACCGGCGACTGTGGCTGCGAGCAAAAGTATAAATGGCACAGATTGCTCGCCTACGACCCTGATAACGATTGCAAAGGTATCTTCATGGACTGGTTCCTCTTCCCTTCTTGCTGTGTGTGCAGATGTGAACCGGTTGCTAACAAATTTCCATCGTCGAATAATCGAAATTAAGAATACTTCTCGACGTGTGATTTGATTGCAATTTATAAAAAAAAAAAAAAATGGAAAAATTTTTCCCTCCCCAATTTATATTTTTCCCTTTTTTTTTTTTTTTTAAATTTAAAAAAAAAAAAAAAAGAAAGAACGGAAGAATATATACTGTAGTAGGATACATATTTGCCATTTTAGTTTTCTTTCATGTATATTTCATCACTGAGATCCTACTTATTTATGAGTGATACAGTGTGTGATTAGGAAGTATTGGAGAAATTATTCCTTGTCACATATTAATATAAGGAATAAATAAACTAATGGTATATATCTAGGTTATAAATTAGATTATTAGAATTTTCAATAATTATCGATACTGTGTGATATTGTATATTCCATCAATATTAGTTGCAAGAATTAATATTGTTTACTAGTTTAATAGTAACTAGTATAATAATTCATTCAATATTCTTATTATATTCAATGATAAGAAATAATATAATATATATACGTAAGAAATAATATAAAATTGGAGCAAAATACAAGAAAAGAATAGCAAGTAATTATAAGAATCAAAAAAAAAAAAACGTCTTGTAGTAAAATATTCTTTAAATAACTTGATATTCTTTTCGACTTTAACTTGTCAAAAGATTTGCTCATTTTTTTTCTGATTTTTGTTCAATCTTTTTTTTGTAACTCAGTACTCATGAATCAACTTAAATATCAAGCATATCAAATCATCGTGCAGCACAAATGTGAAAAACAAGAAAAACTCGTTTCATGATACTTTTATACGTTTTTCTTTTTTTTTTTTTTTTTTTTTTTTTTTTTTTTGATAAGCAAAATAATTATTAATTTCGAAAAGAGGCTTTTCTGCTGCGCGATTTTCATTTTCATCATTCATAATTTTTTCTTTTTTTTTAAATAAGTTGTAAGTAAAGTTAGTTTTAAGTAAATCGTTGTTCCAATCTTCTTGTAACAATCGAGAAAATATTTTTTGAGCAGTTACTTTTATAAAGATATTCCTTTATAATTTTGTTTTTATGTTATTATGTATTTTTAGAATCGATTTTAATTTTAAATTAAACGTTACCATGAACTTTATATAAACCATTTATAATATATTAATTATAATGTTATGTGAGTATTAATGTATAAATGTAATAGTAATTTGTATTTATTAAGTATTATACACAAATGATAGAAAATGAAATTTAGAAATAGATATACATTATACATTATATTTTCCTATAGTAGAGAAAATTGTAAATATGAAAAATAAATTCTTATTATCATTTCTTGAAAATTTATAATAAAATTGATTGTTTTTAATATTAACAAATAAATTAAAAAAAAAATCGATAATGAAAGCAAATTTCAATCGCAATGAAAAGCATAATGTCTAATCTACGAATCTAATAATTAAAGAATTTTAATGGAATATAAAAAAATACTACTTTTAATCAGATAATGCGAAATGAAAGAACAAAATTTCGTATCATCTTATACATTGGACGGATTCCTGATAAGCTACTTTTTTCATTCGTTTTTTCTTTTCAGCTTAAAGTAGTATTACTACAAAAAAAATTACATAAATAACACAAGATTAAAAAATGAAAACGACAAAGCTTAAACCAATAAAGTTAACGAGAGAAGAAAATTCGAATAAAAAATCGATAGAAAAGAATCGGAAAGAATTATTAATGGTGACGTGAAAGCAAGTATTCGAGAGGCTGCAAATCTACGTAATTACAAAGTGTAAAATCGAGTTAACAATCCTTTATTATACAATCACGTCACACGTGTTAAATCTATATACACATTGTACAAAAATATCATCGTTTCATTTAATATAAATTTTTTTTTATTTTTACTTTTTTTTTACGGAAATCGTGTTATCGTTAAATAGACGATTAGATTAAATAAAGCTTTCAGCACGGTGATGCAACTACTCCATTATATGTCAACTTGTTCTACTTAATACGTGACTAACGAACTATGCCTAACTATAAAATAGTTAACAAACTTGTGCGCGCTTAAAATCATTTTAATACACCGTTTTATCATCTTAATAAGATTTTCAAATAGATACACATGTCTAGAATAGCGATTTAATCGATAATTTGGCCAAAAAAATGGTTATAATCGCGATAAGAAGTAAATTACATGTGATAAAATTTATTTACGAAGCATTAACACATTGTTAGATTTAAGATCTTTTAAAAAGGCGCTCTCTCCAATATCGAATAAAAATTTAATTAATTTCCAATTATATATAATTTGATTATTAATCAAGATTACGATACTGGAATTTTTCTTACTATTTTTGAATTTAAAATTATTTAAAATTGCGCTCTCTAGGATTAGTAATTAATAGTTTTGTTATTACCAATAATTATTACCAATATACCAATAATTTTGTTATTAATGAACACTACATAATCGAACCTTCGTTTCAATTCGTATAATTTAAAATCATTTCGAAACGACTTCTAAAATTGATAATTAATTATTAACCAAAACTACCATAATCGAACATTTCATTATTATGTTTCAATTCATATAATTTAAGATAGTAATAATTTAAGATCGTTTAAAATGGCACACTTACTCCGCGGTTATTTTTCAAAGTGGAAAATGTGTATAGGTTAAAGTTTTTCATTAAAGGGCGATGTATTTCGATTGTAGGTAACGGTAGCCGATAATAGTCAACGTGACCATGAAGAGAGATTGTGTAACCGATACTCCCATTGCGGAATTGCAGAGGTCTGTGCTGCAAATATAGCATTCCATTAAATTTCGAATTGAAGTCGCGGTTGCGCTGCAAGAACCATCCACAATGTCTGCTTCATCGACGTTCGGTGTTGAACATTGACGAATCACCACTCTTTCGCCATTTTCTGTAAGAAAAAAAAAAATTAAATCAAGTTCAAAAAATTTATTCGAGAATCAAGAAATTTTTTATTATCTTTTGTTACGAATCATCGTGTTCTCTTATTGCACTACGTTAGTATACGTGCAATTATGTTGACATTTATGCATGTCGATCGATCAATTCTACGATGTCATCGAGTCGTGAAATGGTTAGTTTCCGATTGCAACGTGACATTAAGGGAAATTATTGGCAGATTTGCAGGATTTATGTAATCCATAACCAAAATATCCATAGAAACAGACGTAACATATGCATAACTTCCGATTCACATGCGTGTAACCGAATATTAGCACGCTATACGCCATGTTTCCTTTTGTGTTTACGTTTGAACGATCTGGTGCAACAGGTTGTGTAACAGCTGGGATTCCAAATGTCACCAACAAACTACGGAAGTAATTACGAAACATTGCGTTATTTGAATGAATTTGGATCTCGTGGAAATCTATCCAGGATTAGAATCTACGAACGATACATCTGAGAAATTTATCACAAAAGCTATTCAACTTATACAAACTAAAAAATCATTGAAACATTTGATTTCTATATTTGCAAAATTATCAACATTGCAAAAAACACAAAAAAATTAGAAATTAAACTGATAATTTTCTACAAATTATTCCTGATCGAATTTTAAAATATCATTACACTTTTATTCATGTTTGGAGAAGTGATATTTTTTAACGGTTATGCAAATTTAATTAATCTTTTACACTCGTTAAATCCAGGATTCGAGTTACACGATTAACCTCAATATTTGTGATTCCATGACATTAAGTGATTTTTCCATGACATAGGCGCGGTTTTGACCTTGTCAATATGTAATTATCGCAATTATGGTGTAGAAGCACGTGCCATGACTCACAAACGCAACACAATGCACCGTGGCGATCAACTTGAAGACGATGGATTACGCTATCCTATGATTTCATACAGCGTATGTACGTCATCCCTGATGTAAGAATTGAGAACATCCATATATATCTATGATTATGACTAAACAGGATGTCTCGAGTTTGTTATATATTCGTGTAAATATACAAAGGAAGTTTTTCATTTTTTCATTTTATTTTTTAAATCGTAGAATATATATTTAAATGTTTAATTGTAGAATCATATATATAATTGTACGAATGATATAAAATTAATATCGGTTTAAATATAAGGATAATTTAAGTGTAAAAAAATATAAGAATTTGGATTTTAGTATTCGTATTTATATTCAATGCTACAATATTCGTTCAAAAATGCATTTTTCGTTGGCAAAAATTTTTTATATATTCTTCCTTCCTCGTATAAACACCAATTATTTTCCTTAATTTTTAATTTAATTTTTTCTCTTAATTTTTATCGAGAAAATTGATTCTCGATCTTTTGGCCTAATTTGATATTCGTTGGGGATTATTGTTAAAACAATTATTGTTACCTCTTTTCACGATTTTTCGGCAAATTTGTTTCGACGTCTCGTAAGTTCCAGATTCGCATACTTTTGTATGGAATGTGCCATGATGATCAGTGACGTTCATCGGATCACCACATAAAGGGTTGGTGTTGGAAGCGCAATCCCAACATCGTAAAGCTGAACCTGTTCAATCATCAATTAATAAATATATTAAATTTTAAAAATCATCAAATATCAACAAATAAATTTATCACTTCAAGTTTTCATTTTTCTGAATCTAATTTAATGCCAATCAATTGCGTAAAATTTAATTAAACGTGCATATATTATCGTGTGTACATCGAACTGTTGAGATCCAATAATATTTTATATTATCATATTGTTTAGAATAAGAAATATTGAAAAGTCTGTTTCGAACAATATTATGGAATATTCCAATGGATTAGTCATTCTCCTTTCTGCTACAGCAAAATACATAGAAGTGGAATATACCTGCATTAAATCAAGAATATTTACAAAACGTGTTAAAATTTATAAATTATGAAAATTCGTGTTACGAATGGAACAATCGATCGTAACGATTTAATAACGATCATATTTAATTTATTTTACCGCGTGAGAAACAAAAAAAAAAAAAAACAAGTAACAATAAATGATTTGATAACGCATTTGATAAGATGATAACAATGGTCGATTGCGTAATGAGAAAATAGAAACAATAATTAAAGTCGTAAGTGGACCAAACGAGTCAAAAGAAATATTAATGTTCGAGTTTAACGTTTAATGAATGTAATGACGTAATAACTTTATCTTAATGCTTTGTTCTGCCATATTTCAACTGCCATTGTTATCGAATCATCGTCTATCGTCATTGCCATCGCATTCTGATTCACCCGTTTCGTTATTAAATTTCGAATATTTGCTTTCGAAACATTCCGTAGCAGAGGGAGGGAGAGGAGGGAGAGGGGGAAAGAAATGGATGAAATTTTTTTATGAAATATCTTCGCAAATCACGCGAATCATCAGATTCAATTGTTCGAAAACTTGAACGTGCATTTTGGCGGGAAAATTAAAAGTTCTTCAGAAATTAAGAGATTTAGCTTCTCTTTTAAAGTAATAAATTTATTACGATTTTTTCTAAAATTTAAATTCGTTTCACAATTTTTTTCGTTTCCATAAAAACGATTTTATTTAATGTTTTTAAAAACTATCTTTTTTTAATTCTTAATAAAAATTAAATATTCGTTACATAAATGCTCTTTTTTTAAAAAACTCGATCATGAATTTTTATGATTTTAAAATCTAAAATCACTTATGACCATCCTTTAAAAATTCAAATTCACAAATTTTCATGAAATTTTATTTATCGATAAGATCATAATAATAACTAAAATAAAAATAATAACTAAAATCATTGCAAAATTCCAATGATAAAAAAATGAATGGAAAGAAACAAGTATATCAAATTCTTTCATCAAATATCTTCGCAAATCACATACATCATATTCAATTCGTAAACTTGAACGTGTATTTTGGCGGGAAAATTAAAAATTCTTCAGAGATCAAGATCAACTAATTTTCCAAAGAATAATAAATAATTAAATTATTCTTTTCTAAAATTTAAATTCGTTTTACAAAATTTTCAAGAATTAAAAGTTCTTCAAAAACTTTTCTCAAGTTTTTAAGTTAACTTTAACACTCGTTACACAATTCGAATATTCTTTTTTTAAAAAAAAACTCGATCATAAATTTTTATTATCTCTTCTAAATCTAAAATCACTTGATAATCATCCTTTAAAAATTCAAATTCACAAAATTTCGATTTCGAATTTTACTTATCGAACATGATCATAATAATAATAATAATAATAATTTGGCGGGAAAAATTAAAAATTCTTCAGAGATCAAGATCAATCGATTAATTAATTCTCTCTTCCTTAAAAAGAATTAAATTTAAAATAAAATTATTAAAATTATTACGTCGACTTACCTGATTGAATCGAAACGATCACGCCAAACACGACCAACATCCAACTCAATGTCGACGACATATCTCCACTACTTGTCAAGATATCCTCTTCGATACAATCGATCAACACCAATCACGAAATCTATATTGGGGCATGTGATGGTTCAGAAATAGGCAGAGAGGAACTGATAGCGTCACTGTTCACAGCGTTACTGAAACAGCCAACACCCCCTTTTTTGTCCGTCCGTGTACACGGCGACGTCCTCCTTCTCCTCGATTCTTGAGGCATAAGGAATGGACCAATAAACGCGCGACTCACGCGCCATTAATAACCCTCTATAAGATATCTAAAGGAGTCGAGGAAGTAGGAGTAAGAAAAAAATTAATTGGTTAAAATTTTTCGAACAATGTTGCTTTTAGCGTCACGAGAATGTTATTGCATTATTGTTTTTTTTTTACGTCGTAGCGTAGATCGTAGTTGTTACGTGGCGTAGGCAGTGACGAGTGATAATTTATTTTTACGTAATTTGTAATTAATTTTAGATGAAACGTTTTAAGTAAAGATTAATTATGGGGGTTGCAGAAATATTTAGGGATAATTTGGCAGAGATACAGTTTCAAAGTTTTTTTTGTTTTTTAGTTCTGACGATGAAAATTATTAATTTCATAAATAATTCATTTGACAGATTGCTTCAAATTAGTCGACAGAAGAATTTCTCAAACTTTTCAAAACTTGGAAGATTTTAAAGGTGGAGCTTTATCGAAAGCATAGTGAAAGTAATACTGGAGGATGATTTATTACAATCAATCAAAAAAATTAAAAAATGTCAAGAAAAATATGTAAACAAGTAATAACTAGATTAATTTATGCATTCTTGCAAAATTCAACTGTAAAAAAAAAATTTACAGAAAATGCAAAATATCCACGATGATATTTGAAGAATAAGACAAATCTCTATTTAAACTTTACAAATTTTATTTTGAATTATTAAAGAGAAAAGTTTATTCGATTATTACGCTGGTTTTTCCTATAATCAATTATAATTAATTTATTTGAAAGAAAAAAAATTATTCAAACGAAAATTGACTGTTTTATTTATTATTATTGTCGACTAATTTCACGAACATTTTTTATTAAATTCGCAAAGTGGAAAGTGAAGCGGCGAGAAACGAAAGAAGAGAAAGGGGGAACAGGCGAAACGGTAATTATGAGTCGAGGGGGAGGGAGAAAGGAAAGCGGCATTGCTCTTCAGGGACCCTCATTGGACTCGTTAGAACAATTATGGGACTCTCCCTCCGCCCTCCCCCTCTCTTTGGGATCTTACGAGCTTCGTGCTGGAAAAATATGATTGTTTGGAATTCGAGGATTTACTCTGATTCTGAATCTTGAAAGATTTGTAAAGATTCATAGTCTTTGTATAGTTTTGTTTTGGGACGAAGTTGTTTCGCACTTCCTATTTTATGATAACCTAATAACTCACGATTCTCCTTTATTTTCAGAGTTGTGGGATAGGATAAAGTATATGCATTACTTTATTTCTGTGACCGTGTAGTGGCCAAGTTTGAAGAGTTCGAAGAAAATATTTCTTAAAAAGAAGAAAGAATAAAAGAAAAAAGAAACTTCAAACGTATAAAAATATATTTTCGATGTATACTACGTGTAATATATTTTATTTCTGTTAATTAATTAATTTTCGAAGAAAAATCGAAATTTCCCTTAAAAAATATATATATATATATATTTTCAATAACTGTTTCAATATAATATTCCTTTTTTTATTTTCATCGCTATTGGATGGAAATTCAAAACATTCGAAAAAAGAAAAGAGAAAAAGGAAATCTTTCAAGTCTCCTTTCAGTCTCAAAATTAAATTTAAAAATCGAGGACTCAATCGATATTAAATAAACATTCATAATATTATCACAATATTGAATAAACGAATTTCATTGGAATGATTGTGGCTGCACGAATTGAATACAGATATGGAACAAGAAGAAGGATTGCAAAGTGAGGCTTGCCGACTCGTTAAGGAAGGCTGCTCGTCAGAGGGTCATCGTTTAACCCCGCGAGACATTACCGAATTGACTCGAGCATTTGACCCCTCCCCCTTCAACCAGATGCGCCCAACGTGCGTAAATGTGTGCGCGTCGCACGCGTACGCACGATCCTTGTAGGTATTGGTCGGGACGTAAGTCACCAGCATCATCGATACAAAGGTTACACTGTCTCCCTGTTCATTCATAAAACCATTTAATTTCTCGCTTGAAAGTCAACAGCCTTTTCCGGTCAATCGATGTTTATCGTCGTCGTCTTTTCGCGAGTCGAATGGGGGTTGATGATGATAATCATGATTTATGATGCGAAAATCGAGAAAAAGGAAGCAAGAGAATTGTTATTAATTTCTGAACAGAGGATTTGGAAATATAAGTCGATTTGAAAATTTTATTATCGATTTATAAAGAGAATTTTGTGAATATATGGGAAGAAGAAAAAGAAAGAGAAATTTTTTTTGAAGAATTTTGTTAATTTTCAGGGAAAAAAGGTTTGACGTTGTTGTCTGGAAAATTTTATTAACTTGTCTTTGTCAAATCAAAGTTAAACAAAATTAAATTAGATTCTAATATAAAGAATGTTCGATTTTTAGTAATAAAATTTCGTTTCTATTTTTTATATTTCGATTTTAAAAGAAATATTTCTAAATATTCGATGAGAATCAGAATCGTGAGAATATTCATTCGAGTTAAAAAGTTAATTTAAATTTTATTCCATTTCTAATTAGTTATTTTATAAAAATATGAAATATAAAATCAGCCATTTTATTATAAAAAAAAAAAAAAAAGAAAAAGAAGAGTTAAAATACGTATATTATTGGAATTATTGAAGGAATCAAAGTTAAAATTATCAATATTAAATTGTTCGAAACACGATTGGAATTTTGGCTGTTGCAAGCGTAGTCATTGCAAAAGGAGCACTTAATGCTGGATCCTGGAAAATGTTCCGCTTGTTGGCAGTATCCATCGATTTCTCGTGACGGCACGCAACCTCGTACCGTCACCAGCACGTCTCCATCTGCATCATTAAGGAAATAGTTGTG